TGCAGCTGCCTGGGGACCGCCTATGGTGGGTAAAGGAGAACGACGAAGAGATTACCGCAAACATAATCATGTGCCGATGCAATGTGCAGCTGTGATTCTAGGCACCTGGCACATGCTTATTTTCTGGCAGATGCTTTATTTTCCATTCCAACTGATAATAAAATCAAAGTAGTTTGTCTATGCTGCCGGGACAACAGTGACCTTTATTACCTTGCCTTAGTGCTGTATCCGTTCTTCCCTCTGTCAGAATAGAGTCTGGGTGAACTTGTGCATCCTTACACTCTCCAGATCACCGTGTTGGTTCACGGCACTGTGCTAATGGGATCTGGCGGGAAGGCAGTAGGAAGCACTCTGCATATCTTATTAAGACAATTAAGAGCAACATGGTGGGAGAGAAATCCTGTGAAAGTTCAGTGGCATTGTCAAGTGGCTGGAGTTTCTAAGAGCCCAAAATTCTGGAGCACGTGGAATATTCCTTTGAGAGATAAGTTGCTGCCTTTTGTACTATCCACAACGAAGAAAGAGACATAATCTTGGTGGGCCGCTTAGGATTTTTGGAGGCACCGTATTTCACTGTGGGACAAGCAGTGCTGATCCATTTACTAGGTAACCCACAAGGCTGCCAGCTTGGAATGGGACTCAAGGCCGGAAAGGTCTCTGCAACAGGAGCAAGTCGCCCTGGCTCTTGGTCCTTAAGCCTCAGTAAACCCAGCTGTATCAGAGGTGTTCGTGGCAGACAGACTGCTGTAGGGTCCACTGGTGAATCATGGAATAGGATCACAGTGCTGACCAGACGGAGTGAAATGATGCCTTTCTCCTTGTCTGCTGTCCACTATTGTCTATTTTAAGTTATTCCTGCTTCCCATGAATACTGAGAGTGACTAAATACCTAGTCATGGGACAGCAAGTGAACTGAACTTATCATGAACTAGGTATAACGGGATCCACTGAAGCACAATACTGCATGAAAAAGAAATATAAGTTGGTTTCACACATACAAGTTTGGGCGCAGGCCATTTTGAAATCCACAAGTAAACTTTGTGGGCTGGGAGTTTGGATAATCATGGTTCTTCTACTGCTTTACCTTTCCTCCCTCAATTTTTACCTACAGTCTCATTGTGAACTCTCTTTGACCAGCTAACAGTAAAGGGAAAAACCCAGGGCCTGATCTGTAGATAGATTGTCATGGTTTGCCAGCACCAGCTGGGAGTGGTCCGTCGCAGGACTACGCCTTCACACAGGGATGGCCTCTGAATTAGAGAGGTGTCAAGAAACACTCCCAGTGGACAGAACTTGTGTGGTCCATCTGGTTAGACACCTCATATGGGAAGAGGAGATGGCCTGGGGTGTAGCTCTACAATGATTCATGGGCAGCGGCTAGTAGTTTCCCTTTGCTGATCAAGGCCTTGGGAAAACACAGACTTGGAAACTTGGCGACGAGGAGGTCTTAAGGAAAGTGTGAGCGTGAACCTCGAAGAGTAGGGAGAATATGCAGTCATTACCACACAAATGCCCACCAGAGGCATCCACATTAGAGGGAGTTCTCCATCATCAGCAGACACAGGGACCTCTCCTGCAGATGTCACTCAGCTTCTTTCCCAGCCTCCTTCATATTCGTTGTGATCGTGCACTAAATGGCCGTGGCGGCAGGGATGAGGCTCTGTGGGGAGTGGACATCAGGATCTTCTGCTCACCAAGGCTGGTGTGGCTACCACCTCTGCTGTGTGCTCAGCCTTGCAGCCACAGAGGTTGGTGCTGAGTCTCTGATATGGAAACGTTCCATGGAGACAGTTGAACATATTGACCTCTCCTGTCATGGCAGGAGGGTGATGTTTTATTCACCCAGGCAGACAAATTCTAAGTGTGGATATGACTTCTCTGTGCACAGCTCTTCTGCCAGCACAACCATTCACGAACTTCCAGAACCCTGTGGGCTTGGGCTGCTGCCGTCTACATGTTGTATATTCAATATACGAGCTCTTACCTCAAAGCCAGGTGAACATACCCGGAACCCAAGGGGAAGGTGGGCCCCTCCACGGTTACACTTAATAATCCACTTGGAGAATTTTTGTTTCCTGTTTTTACAACCTTAGGCTTGGTGGGTTTGGCGGTCCTGGTGCCTCTGTATCAGCTTTAGAATCAGGCTTCACATAGAGCGGATCAGCTCCCACCCTCTCACAAGGGCACATCCGGCTAAAAGAAGAAATACCCTGTTTTTCAGAACCTAACAAAAAGTTTATTTCCCTAGTAGGCTCAGGATTGGTTCACATGATTATCTCTGAATCAGTCCATGTAGATGAGAGAAACATCCTGGCTCTGACCTGCTTCTATGTGCTCCTCCTGAATTGAGCGGTGGAGTCCGTGCTACAGAACCACACAGAGTGAGAGAGGGGAAGGATGGGCTTTCAGTGGGGAATTGAGGTGACTTTCCCCTGGAGCGTCTGCTATACTCTCTGACAAACTTTTAATTTCTGTAAAATGGCATAGCCTATGGTTACCTCTTCAGATCATCTATTTCTAGACCCTGTCTTTGTCTACGTGGGGGTACACACTTTCTAGGATCTCCAGATACCACATTCTGCATGTCTACATGTCTCTAATCCTCACAGGCCTCACTCAAAATTTCCATGATACCCTTGACGTACTCTGTCCTTTAAATACTGCATCTGTTCTTCACGGGATTCACCATATTTATCTTTTACATTTATTTGTTTGAATATTTTGTTAACGTCTGGCTCTCTTCTTAGGCTGCAAGCTTTTGAGAGCAATGGCTGGGTATGTTTTGGTCACAAATTTGTCCTGTTTCCATGGGTGTATGCATATGTTCAAACCCATCAAGTTGTATACATTAAATATATGCAGTTTTTTGTATATTATTTACACCTCAAGAAAGCCGTTAAAAAGTAACAAAACAAAAAGCATTTACCCTTGAAAGCCTTACTCGGTAGCTGACATATATTAAGGGCTCAACAATATTTTTGGATGAATATATATATAAATGAAAAAAATATGAATGACTGAAAATGACCTGTGTTTAGAATGAGCAGGGAAGTAGGGAAGAAATCCAGGGGAATAGGTGAGTTATCAGCTTCTGCAGACTGCAGGAGCACAGGTCAAGGCGTGTGGCTCAGAGAAATAATCCGAAGTAGGGTGACACGGCTCACAGCTCCTTGGACGTGAACGGGCTGACCACAGCTGAGAGCAGCTCTTGGATTCTCACAGTGGAACCAGAAGGGTAGAAAGGTCCCGCCTTGCCTTTCCCACTTCCTGCAGTAACTAGTCCAAGGTCGTACTTTTAGTGGGTAAAATTATTATCTGGGATAATGCAAATGAGAAATGATGTGGTGTCTTTGAGAAGTGCGAACTTTGGAAATTTTTGGAAATATTAATCCTTTGACATTTATATGTCCTATAAAGATCTTCTCCGAGTTCACAACTTGTTTTTTACCCTGTTTAGATACCTTTTCCAAACTTTTAAACTTTTTATTGTAGAGAACTTGAAATATAAACAAACCCAGAAAGAATGGTGCAATATCAGCAAGAAATAAAGATGTAAAATTGAGGAAGTGTAAGAAATAAATCTGTAAAATTGATGGAGTATGGTAAAAATCCTTAGTTCTCAATTTGAAATTGGATTATCAGTGTAAACTCATATGTGTTTTTTTTAAAATATTTTTTAGCTTTGCTATAGAAAATGGCTAGAAATAACTACAAACCCAAAAGTAATGAGTTTTCTAGGACCCAGATTGGGATCTGTACAAACCATTTTTACTAAATGGTCCCAGGGCTTCTTGGGGAAGTGGCTGACTTCAAGTCTAGGCAGGAAACGCATAAGACGAGCTTGGACCTTCTTACACAAGGAGGCGTGGGTGCCGTGCTGTCAAACGCTGTGGGGTCACGTCCAAAGACCGGGAACCAGCATGAATAGGCTCCCGTTTGCCAAAGACAAGACAGGTTGACCATCAGTAAGCGTAATAATTGGAATATATTTTAAACACACTACATATGTTTAAATCTATGAGTTCTTAATGATACAAAATGGCTCTTCGATCCCTTGGGATGTTGCTAGGAAATAAAGTAAAATGGTGAAAACCAGGGTTGTCCCAGACCACTTGGGATGCGTGGATACCCTCTTAAATACACATCAATCAGTCACAATGTATGTACTTTATTTGGACCAGATTCAAACAAACTGGAAAAAAACAAAAACAACCTGGAACATGCAAACATCGAATACTTGATGATATAGCTAATTACTGTTAAATTTTTGGATGTGATAATGATATTGTGATTATCTTTAAAAGAGAAAGTTCCTATATTTAATAGAAACATTGATTTTTTACTTACAAAGTATTATTAATGAGATATGTTTCAGCATAAGATGGGGAAAGTAGTGAGTATAAATGAAGCAAGACTGGCCATGAGTTGATGATTTTCAAAGCATACTGAGCGCACAGCGTAATGAGTACATAGCTGATATCACACTACCCTTTCTGTTTTTGTTTACATTTCAAATTTTCTATAATAAAAAGTTTAAAAGTTGGAAAAATATACCATAAACACAGTATAAAACAACTTTCAAACTGGGAGAAGATATTTGCAGTGTATATAATTGGCAAATGATTAATATGCAGAACATCTAATGGACTTATACTAATAAAACTGTAAACAACCCAATAGGAAAATGGGCAAAAGACATGGACAGGCTATTCAGAGAAAAAGAAGAAAGAATGTTTAATATGCATTTGAAAATATATTTATCTTCATTTTTTTTTAAAGATTGGCACCTGAGCTAACATCTGTTGCCAATCTTTTCTTTTCTTCTTCTTCTTCTTCTTCTCCCCAAGGCTCCCCAGTACATAGTTGTATATTCTAGTTGTAGGTCCTTCTGGTTCTGCTCTGTGGGACGCCGCCTCAGCATGGCTTGATGAGTGACACCATGTCTGCGCCCAGAATCTGAACCAGCAAAACCTCAGGCGGCTGAAGTGGAGCGTGCAAACTTACCCGCTCGGCCACGGGGCCAGCCCATCTTCATTATTAACCAGAGAAATACAAAATCAAAAATAAAATAAGGTACAATTTCAAACTCAGCAGATTGACAAAACTTAAAAGCTTTGATCACGGTGTTGGCTAGAATGAAAACTCGTACACATTGCAGGTATGGGAGGCAAATTTATAGAGATATTTGGAAAAAATTTGGCATAAACTAATATAAATCAGCACAGGTATAATTTCAGAACAAGCAAATACTCTCAAAGGTATGTGCCCCAGGGAAGATATTGCACATGTGACCGGGAAACATCTAGAGTGATGTTCAGAGGAGCCTTGTTACAGGCGCATAGACAGAAGATTGGAAAAACACGTTATATTCATATGATGTCATTCCATGGAAGTGCTGATGGATCATAGCTTCATTAATCAACAAGGATAATCCTATGAACAGAAGGCTTTGCCTGGGGAGCAAGTCACTAGGAATGAAAATAGAATGATTCCGTGCATATACACTGTGAAATGAATGAACTACCTTAATGACATTTAGTGTGGCTGTGCCCAGTTGTGCAAGCAGTGCAGGACAGGTTGCAGAGAGACCGAAGCAAAGATCTGGAGCAGCTACGAGACATAAGATTTATTGGGACTTACATACGGGGAGTGTCCGGGACAGCTGGCTGGATGGGGTTGTGCACTGCTACTGCGGGCAGGGAGGAGCTTGCTTACATAGGCCGGGGGCACAAAGGCTATGTGCTTGCCAAGAGGGGCCATGCCTGGTATGGCCAGCGTCCCCAGGAATGGTTCACGTGGAAGGGCTCTGTGTTCCTTTGTGATGTTCTTTGAGTGATAAGTTGACATCCGGGCTGGCCAGGCCCCGGATCCTTACAAATCCCAGCAGCTGGGTGCCCTGCCCAGAAGTTTGGCGTCCTGCCCATGAGGGGCCAGAGGGGCACAGGCTCTTAAAGGGCAGTTATTGCTGAGTAAGCATGACCCTGCAAATACTTATAGACATATATGCCAACAACTTTAAAATGGAAAGCAAGGAAAATGGTTACAACAATCAAGATAGCGATTCATTTTGGAGAAGCGTTTTTTGGTTTAATGCGTTCAGAGAAAGATAGATGGGCTTCAAATATAGGAATAGATTCCCATTTTTTACAAGCCGAGTGGTGGTTTTAGTAAGGTTAATCCTATTTAATATAATAATTATTATTATTCTTTAACATATTCATTTCCCAAATTAAAAAGGTAAAAAGGGAAACAAAGATCCCTTGAATTTATTTTGGACCATTTGCAAGGTAGGTTTTTCCACGTGGATGCCAATTGTTCCCCCATATTTGCCAAGTGATTTACCATGCCTCCGCCGTCACACACCAAGTCCACACCGACGGCTGGATCAGCTTCTTGGCTCTCTCTTCTGATCCATCGGTCTAACCATATAGGCCTACAGGAAAACCGCATGGTCTTACTTATTATAACGGGATGTTATATTTGATACTTATTAAGCCAAGCTCTTCTTATTTTTTTCTTCTTTTCACTCTCTCCATTCCTTACTATCTTCTTTTCTTCATTTTTCTTCTTTTTTCAATTTTCATTGTTACTTTGGCTCTTCTTTAATATTAATTTTAAGATCTGATTGTAAATTTCTAGTGATAACCCTGTTGAATTTTGATTGTTGATTAATTTGGATAATAAGTGGTATTTTGGGGATTCTGTCTCTTCCTATCCATGAACACCTTGCCGTTTATTTGGGACTTCAATTATGTTTTTATTAAGTTCTCCATTTAAGTTTGCGCATATTTGTCCTAGGTACCCCATAGGTTTTTCTGCCACTATGAATGGCAGCATTTTTAAAATTGCATTGTCTATTAGGTCTTATACAGCCATCTTGCTGAACAAATTTTATTCCTACAGATTTCTCATGCATATTGTTAGATGTTATATTTAGAGAATCCTATGATGGGAAATAATTAAAAATGTGAAATTTCCTTTCCAGTAGATTTCGGTTTTTTCCTTGTTTTAGTATACTTTTAGAAACTCCCTTACAATATTGAATGGTAAAATTTAATATCAGCACCCTGGTCTTGCTAATGACTTTAAAAGGAATGTTTCTATTTCTTTACCTGTAAAAGTAATGTTGTCTAAGGACATGTTTGCAGGTACATTTCGCCGCTTAAAGAAGTTGTCTTTATCTGGATTCCTAAAGCATGTTATCATAAGTGATTACCCAACATTCTAGATTACATTCTTCTGCATATATTGATATAATCAGATTTTCTTTTAATATGGTAATATGGTCACTTCCGTGGATAGATCTCGTGATGCTGAACTTGCCTTGCATTACTGGGATAATTTTTTCTTTATTATGTAGTGTTACTGTTAAATCATTATTGAATTTTATTTTCTGATATTTATTAAGGGGATGTTTCTCAATGTCCACAATAAAACTGCTATACAATTTTCTCTTATTGAACTGTATTTACTCTGTTTGGTATTATGATTATACTAGTCTGATGAAATGAGTTGAGCATCTTTCCATATTTTAAAATTATTTTTATTATTTATTTTTAAGTGTTTTAATATTTTTATTATTATTTAGGGATTGTTCATTCACAGTCTTTAAAATCTTCTACAGAATGGTCTGATCCTACGCTTTTTGTTCAGAAGGATTTCACTGTTCATTCATTTGCTTTAATGACTTGGTTTATTCAGGCTTTTTGTCTTCTTCACTCACTTCAAAAGTGACTGACACACTTAAACAGCTTGATCTAATGAACATATACAACATTGTGTCCCACAAAAGGAGAATTCGTATCTTTTTCTAGCACTCAAAGAATGACCATAAATTAGGTTGAACAGCTAACAAATTACACCAAACAGATATATAACAGGTCATACTCTCTAGGCTAAATATAATGACATAAGATACTACTAATAAAAGGATGGTCTAGAAAAATGGCGTATCTACTTTGAACATGTTAAATTCTATTCTACATGATTTTTGGATTATGAAGGATGTCAAAGTTGGACTTATAAATATACAGGGACAAATTTTCTGCGAAAATTTGTGTATTGGAGCTATATAACCTGAATTCAGCTTCCAAACTATTAGTTTTATAAACTCTGGAAGTAAATAACTCCACATATGCAAGTGTCTTCTTTGTTAAAATGGGGATAAGAAGTCCTAATGTCATGCAGAACTGAAAATAACGCATTTGCGTGTTGAATTTGAAGCACACCATAAAACTATATTTCTCATATTAACATATTAGAGCACAGGACATCACAAAATCAGTATTCTCAAGAGACACGGTGGCCTGACATAAAGCTTTATATAGTTAGTCTGAAAAGTTTTTCCTTATATGTAGAGCAGTGGCTCTTCTGGTAATAGAACAGTCTAGAGACACACGAGAACTTTGCCCACAAGCATGTAATAAGCCACGTCTAAAGGAACCTTCTTTTAAATGCATAACTGAGTTTACAAAATAGTATGGGACATCCACAGGGGGCTAAAATGAAGAGGGAGCCGAAACCAGGAAGCGCAGGTTCCTCTTGGTTTATTTCCTGATAACAGGAGCCTGGGAACATGGATCTTAGCTACACAGACAGGAGACAATCTCATGCATCCACACAAGGCAGAAAGGAGGAACGAGGACTCCTACATAAGGCCCATGAGGATCGGTATCTTTAGTAAAAATGTGAGCTAGGAAAATCTGGAAAAGGAAGTCAGCAATGAAATTACTCTGTTACTTCCTTGGCTCCTTCTGGGGAACAAAATCTTGCTTTCATGTCAGTTGGGAGTTCAAATTTATCCCATGTGCAGAGTCCAGAAAAATCTAAACAAAAGATTAATCTGAAAATTCCCCACATTGGTGCCATATAATAGGAGGAAGAAAATTAAAATCCCCTCTGGATAAATACATCTCAACTAGGATGTTCAGTTTTCCAGTGTACTAAGATTGCCAAATATAGGCCCATAATCTAAAGTGAAAATGCTAAGAAGAGCCATCATAAACTAAAGTGGAATTATATTTCCATGGATATCAGATATTCATAGAGAAAATTATTTTTTAAATGTTTAAATATATACAAAAGTTCATCAAATATGACCAAAATATGTTTTAAAAAAACAAACTCAGGAACAAAAAAATAAAATAAATGTAATACACTATTAAAGGATGCGTGAAATAGCAGTTTACACACAGGTGAAGAGAGAATTAGTGAACTAGAATATTAGACTGAAGAAACTATTCAGGATGTAGTTTAGAGAACAAAGAGATGAAAAATACGAAGATTAAGGGACATAGAGAATAAAATAATAAGGTTTAACACACATGGAATTGGAATTTCACAAGTAGTGAGTGGAGGAAAGGAAAACAAGTATTTGAAGAGATAAAGACATAGCTCTTTCCCAGAAAGGAAAATTACATGGATTGAGGCTTAATAAAACACATTATGTATCAATATAAACGTAGAAATGCTATCCACATGCAGATACATTTTAATGAAAATATAGAATACTTAAAAGTAATACAAGAAATTAAAACTAGCCAGGAGTGGAGAGAATTTCCCTAAAAAGGAGTAATATCCAGAATGACAACATAATTCTCAAAATCAACAGTGTAAACCAAAAGACAATAATAATTTCTTCAAAGTGCTGAAAGAATATATCAGCACACATAGCACTGTGTATCTTGCAAAAATATCTTTCAAGAAAGAGTACAACATGAAGACATTTTTAGACAAAAAATGGACAATGGGGGCCGGCCCCGTGGCCAAGTGGTTAAGTTCGGGTGCACCACTTCAGTGGCCCAGGGTTTCGCCAGTTTGGATCCCGGGTGCAGACATGGCCCCACTCATCAGGCCATGATGAGGCGGTGTCCCACATACCACAACCAGAGGCACTCACAGCTGGAATATGCAACTAGGTACTTGGGGGCTTTGGGGAGAAGAAAAAAAGAAGATTGGCAACAGTTGTTAGCTTGGGTGCCAATCTTTAAAAAAAAAAAAAGGGACAATGTACCTCTAATAGAACTTCACTAAAAGAATTTTCAAAGAATGTAATGCTGGAAGAAAGAAAATAATCCCAGAATAAAGGTCTGAGATGCAAAAAGAAGTGGAAAACCAAGAAATTCATACAAATAAAAATTAATCTAATGGATATGGATATAGGGGAAATTCTCGACAATGTACTTGCTAGCCATGTATATATATCGAGATTACTCTGTTATGACAGAAAATTTGTAATCCCATATTAACCAATTTTTTTCAGAGAGAAAATTCTGTGAAACACAAAATTGTTCTGAGAGTGAAAATTTTATTCTTAAGATATTTCTATTGCTGTTTTGTTAAATGCTGACCTTTCCTCTTCCGTATGCTTTGCATAGTTTTTATTATTTGTTTCTCAGCCCTGATTAGCACCAAAGGGCTGACTGTGGCATAGCCATTGGCCCTAAGCATATGGATACATACCAGGATTGGGTCGTTTGTCCATGTCAGGCCTACGGAAGACGAAATGATGAAGTCCACACAATATGAGACCACAAAACAAATCACTAGCAGCAGAATCATCTGAGCCATCCTTATTTCTGGGGAGTTTCTTGGAGAGAGGCTTTTGCTGTGAAGATGCTGGGACCGCTGCTTATGTCTGGAAGAGAAGTATCATGTCTCCACTCGACAGGACCATAAGCCCCATGAAGAAGAGATCCCTGAATGCCATCAGTGTGAAAAACAGGCCCCTGTGGATGTAGCTCATGGGTGAAAAGGAACAGCGCTCAGTGAGGACCAGAAGACTAGCCTGGGTCTCACTGGGCGCGCCCACAGTGTAGAGGAGCAGGTTGCTACAGATGACACGTTCAGGACCCATGAGAAGGGAAATAAACATAGGATGGGATTTGGAGATTTAGGTTTGAATTTAGCCAGCCTGGAGCTGCTGGGGCTGCTGGCGATGGCCTGAAGCACACTCAAGAGGCGGGCGGTACAAATGGAGAGAACCCTCAGTACCTTGTTAAGGAAGACAATCGCCTTACATTTGAAGTCACTCTGAATACCCTGTGCCCCCCAAATGTCCGTAGACACCAAGAAGCCCATGGTGAGGAGCATCATTATATGTATTATAGCCAAGTGAGTGATGGGAGGTCAGTGAGCTTGGGCGTGGGTCCCACAAGGAAAATTGACATGTGGAGGAAAAGGAGAAAGGTGTTTGCTGAGATCCCAAAGCCAACTTGGGGATAAAAGGCACTTTTTATGGCAATATAACTGGAATATTTGTTCATCTCCATGGGAACGTTAAAGCAAATAATATATTTCTGGAAAGAAAAATGAGATTCTGACAACAGCAGTGTTTTCATTGACGTGCTTGCATCACACTTTTCAATCTCTGGAATCACCACTTTAGCTAAAATAATTCTATATAATTATGACTTGCTCTTATTCAGCATTTAAATTTCAACTCAACATCATTCATTCCTCCAAGGAAATCACTTTTGTGTACTCCCTTTGCCTCCCAGTGGCCCTCACATCACGCCCTGCTCTGTGAGCCTGTGGCGCCAACGCTTTCCTTTATGGCGCACGTCACCGGGTTTAATGGGGAGCTTTTGTTTACTCTTCTGTCTCCTCTGCAAATTCCTCACGAGCAGAGATGCTGTCTTATTTGTATTTGGATCCACAGTATTTGGCACACTGCTGCATTCCTAAGAGTTGTCCACTAAAGCCTGTCGATGTCGATTTTTGGTGAGTGGAAATAAGAATCTTCCAGTTAATCCCAACAAGACCATTCTCAGGATTTATTTATAGAAGTGCAGAATCCAGGAGGGGTTTCATGGTTCGTACCCTAGATCCACATGGCCTTTGTTTAAACCTAGATTCCACCCCTTCCAGCTGGGTGAGCACTGTCAACTCACTTACATACTTTTGTCTCAGTTAACATCAGGAGTGAAAGGGGGACAGTAACAGTCCTTCTATCATAGCGTAGGTGGAGGATGCGTGAGTAAATATGAAAAGCATTTAGAAAATGCCTCATATATGAGGCGTTATAGAAGTGTTGATTATCAATTTATTATTTATCACCACCTAACTTTGGCTTGAGAGAGTTAACGTAGTATATTAAGGATTTCACAGCTGAGAAGAAATGACTACCATAACATCGGCCTCCTTTGACAAACTGATCCTCGCACCCCGGCAGTATTCTAGCTTTTTTTATTTTCCAGCGTCCCCAGAATATAGCTCTGGATGTTTCCCCCATTCACAACCCACTCCAGGAAAATGGAGATATCCGACAGGGTCTCCTTCTCAATGACCAGTAGTAAGAAATGCCACATTTAATGTTCACCTTTTCTCAGACCTGTGGGTTAGAGACAATGCCTCCACCACTGAATGGCGCCGGGCGTGCTTTACTGAAGATGTTTCCTGCAGGGTGTTCACTCACCCTCAGGAGAGGGAACCTATGCCTTCGAGTCCCCTGTAATTGATCTTTAATATTTACCCAGAGTTCTGTGGGACATGTTAGGAATCACAGTGAAGGGTCATGACCTGAATTCAGGCCTTTTACTCAATTTCTTTAATATAATCTATGCCTTAGCATTTTTGATCTTTATAACACTGTGAAAGTGATCATATTTCCCCTCAGAATCTCCCTGTGAACAGCCAAAATGATAGAATAACAACTCTGAAAATCTAGTATAACTCTCTAGTTTTATCAATATACATTTCTAAGGGAAATCAGAGATATTGAGACCATGTCCTGGACATAACGCTCATGAAATCAATGCCCAAACCATTGAGAGAAATAAAGACACAAGTGGCACAGCCAAGGGAGGCCAAACATGCCCTCCGTGCAAGATATAGATGCCACGTGACTAGGATGAGAACACGACACACCTTCGGATTAAACAAATGAAGCTGAATCCAGTGAAAGGTGGAGCTGACATTCTTCCTTGCTACTGCAATATTTACTACCCAAGGCATTTATATGTGTCTGGTGAAGAAGTAGGAGGACAGAAAATGGTACTGCAGAGTTGGGAGATGGGAAAACCAGAGGAACTCTATCATAAATATGATGTGAAATTTAGCTGGAAACCCAAACATCAAGTCTGGAGATGTTTTTGTAGCAAAGAACGAGTGGGACTTTTTACCAGACAACTTGCCAATTGTTTTGCATCTCAGCAGAGGGAACAGGTCACACACATTCTCACAGCAAGTGCAACGCAGCAGCCAGTTTCCAGGAGAACCAAGTATTTAAGATCACGGTCCAGGCATTGTAACAGGACCAGTCAAATTTGACCTGGCACATTCTGCTTCGTAACTGCAGCCGGCACACACATCACCAACAAGGAGAGAGGATATTCTGCCATGAATAAGTTTAAGAACATCTAGAAGTTTTCCCAGTCATGGGGCCACTATTTGAATGATACCAGGACGTCCTTTACCTAAGCTGTTTCTTACAGCGCATTCACTCAAGCCCTGAAAGACACTTAGCTGTTCAGGAGTGGTAGCCCACGCCTTCGCGTCTCCGCCAATAAATCTGTCCACGTTTGCCCACATTATGTTGTTAGATATTTGTGATCCAGGAAAGGAAGAGTCTCCATTATGATGACACTGTCATCACTTTCTTCTCCTTCAAAAGCACTTAATTACTGGACAACAGATTTAACTTACCCTATAGATACACCCCAAATTTGAAATTTGTGATAATTCAATGAATGGATTAAAATTTTACTTGGCAAATATTTTGGGAGGAAAGTTCTCAATGAGAACATCATCATTTGAAATTTGGGAGGAAGGAGCAGTGAAAAATCCTTTAGAAGATAAGATATTGTTGATCAAAATATAAAATATTTTCTCTAAATTATTATGAACTTCTTTTACTTATCACAGAAAATTCAGTGAAACTACAACGAAGAAATTTCTCGTCTTTAGTTCTAGAGGCTTTAGTAAATTTAATATAATAAAATATTCTAAAATGATAGCTGGAATTAAATTCTATATCCTCTCCTCCATGATTATGTTAGTAAAGAATAACTCTAATGTTACTTGATTGGCTGAGAGAAGATGGTCATTCCAGGTGTATGTCAGACAGCAAGGAAAAAATGTTCTCTAATGTAAGGAGAGGTAAATTGTAGCCAGATAATGGCCGCGGTGGTGATCCACAATGATATCACTCTGCCAAGCCAGGAAAATACCATGCCTTATTTTATCACAAATTTACATTTATTCTACTATTTTAGTGTCTCCTTACATCCCTAGAATGTTTTTAAAAGTATAAAATGTGCCTAAATTTAAAAGAATACATATGTGATAGTGAGAAGGAAGACTAAGTCATTCTGATATACTGTAGCCAACTATATTTTAAAGGAATGCAACGCCATTTTCATGTAAATATATACTACACATTTTATTTGAAATTATACTAAAAATAAGATTATATTAAATAGAATTTTTAGTATTTCAGGTATATCTTTGAGCTTGTGAATTACCAAAACAGGATATAAACAAATTTGTCATAGAAATGAATGTAAACCTAGGAATCGCTGGCTTTTTGAAATATTTTTACTTACGTGAGTCTTTATTCAAGAAAAATCACTCGTTTAAGATATGAGTCATTAAATAATAATGCTATGAAAGTGCAAGGAAGTTCTGCAGCACGTTCAAAATAAATGTCTGTGTTCTGGTTATGATTTAGTAAAAGTCAGGACTTAAACTGCCTTCTTCCCCACCTGCCTGGGAGCCTGCTCCGCCTCCTGGCCCACAGCCTCTGCCACTGAGATTTTCCAAATCTGAGCAGTCGAGACACTTTCCCAGCTGGATCTTTGCAGGGAGTCAGCGTATCTGAGTTCAGGCTACAAGATCTGATTGTATAGACAAGACGCCTTTAGCTCATCTCTCGGTAGACCAGTAATTTTGCCGTTGCATCTAAAGTCTGACAACACCTGTCTTCTCACAGGGCAAAGGCAGTCCCCAGAGGAGAAGACGGATACTCCTTTCATTCTCAGGAAATGGTAAACAAGCAACATCTGGATGAAAACCTTTTAGGGTGTAGTTCTTAATTTCCAAAGCCAAATGAGCCTGGGTTGTTCATCAGGTGTCAATCATGGCAAACAAATCTAAGGCCCCTCCCACTGATGCAAAATTGCTGGGGCCTGGTGTAAAAGACAATGAAGTCTACAAAGCCACGTAATGTTACACGCAAATGAAAACCCATTTAAAATATGTCTCTTAGCTCTGTCTACTGAAAATAGCTAAAAGCAATGGCACCCTAATATCAGTGGATGGACCTCACAGCCAGGTTTGGGTTTCTAAATGCTGTGGTTCTGAGCAGGAAAATTGCAGATTGAATCGGGATGTCCTGTGCCAAAAAGAAAAAAAGAAACCAGTCAAAGACGACTTGGGTTGTTTCAAAGGGACATGAAGATAGATTAAAGGGGCCCCCACAGGCCCAATCTTAGGAGAATTGGAATATCCTAAGGAAAAATGACTGTAATTTATGGAATCAACATTAATGTATATTTTTTGAAGTTCAAATTAAAATAATTTCCATAAAAAGACATGAAAGAAAGGAAATTAATTGGCCATATTACATATGAATATTAAACCAACTCTTTCTATTTAAGATTAGTAATTAAAGGAAAATATTAGATATTTATTTTACCTTTCCAGAGCAAAATGTACCTCAGGATAACCAGATACCTCTAGTCATTGTTATCAAGGGAAAGCTCTTAAAAATCAGTGCCATCTAGTGACCCACACGGCAATCCCTAAGGAAAGAATTGCTTCAGCTTAGGGGCTAAAATGGAGGCTAACACCATGAGCTGAAATGTGCAGGGGAAGCTGGGGAGCCATGGCTCTCAGGCATCACCAGGCGCATGACCGGATGGCTGCAGCGGGAAACACACAGCCCTGGAATGGATGGGTCTGGCTGCCACCACCTTTCAGATCAATCCTAGTGCCAGAGACTGTGGGGCAACCAGACATTACGTGGCTCCTCACGTGATGTGGAACAGCATATACAGCTACCATGAAGTGTTCTTGCTGAAAGGGTTTGACTTGAATCTAATTAAGGCTTTATATACAGCCTTAATTATCTTATCTTCTTCCTGAAGGTAGAGGAGATTAATTATAGTAATTAGCCGATGTATTTTTATTATTAAAGGAAAAAGCCATTATGGAAACTACATCAGCCAAATCAGTTCTTTGAGATGATTTTACCAGCTGCTAGCGACTCTGTTTGGCCAAGAAGAGACTTCAGATGTCAGTCACCCGATACTCCTTCCCCGCCAGCTTAGTAATAGCGAAAGGGGGCATCCTGCCTGCTAGCTTTGGCTGAAACAATTAAGGGGCGCTAATGACTAGCCCTTGTCAGGTGCCTACCCCTGACTAGATACTATTGTGAGGACAAAGCGGAACTCGGTTGGCCAGAATTTATTCACAGGCCTTTATCTCTGCTTCTGCTAAGTTAGTGTCAGCCACAGTCAAAACCCAGAAATGGTTTGCCCAAAGCAAAAAGGGTTATGCTATTAGAAAAATGAAGACATACTATTCGGCAGAGAAAAGCACCAAATATCTACTGCTCCAACTCTGCTCAACTACTCTGTTTCATAATAAAATTAGCACAAAATATTTAACTAATGTGTACCGGCTGACCGCTTTACATGAATTCTCTTGCTGAATTCCCACAAAAGCTTTGCCAGGTAAGAGAAAGTCTTCTCCTTTCATGTGTAACGCAGTGGAAGTGAGATGGACTATTTTGCAAACCGTCAGATCATTTTCTCGAAAGGATGGAGTTAAATCACTTTGGAGCGTATTTCTTTACTATTTTAGAAATCATCAGTTATGGAAATGTGAGTTAAGAAGCCACTCTTGTTCGGTGGAAGAGGGTATCAAAAACCTGTGGGCACTGAAACAGCCTGTCCCCTCCCCGAGGCCTTTGGTTCACTATCTCCGTAAAGAGAGTGCAAATTGCAAAAATGGGTTTGGTTGACCTGCTGGAAGGAAAAGGCCACCGAGACCTCAAAGGCAAACACACTAAAAAGGAGGCAGAGTCTGCGCAGGTGACTAAGGCTCAATACCAAGTCACCGTGTGCATCAGGCGAGCTGGTCCTAGCGTAGTGTGGCTGAGGCTGGGTGCTCCCCTGGACCTGTTTATTTCTTTGTTTTAATTACTAGGCTTAAATTTTTTATTGAGATATAACATTAGTTTCAGGTGTGCAATGTAATAATCCAATTTATGTATATATTTTGAAACGATCACCACCATAAATCTAGTTAACATCCGTCACCATAATAGCTACCAATTTTTTTTCTTGTGATGAGAACTTTTAAGATCTACTCTCGTAGCAACTTTCAAATATACAATACAGTATTATTAATATGGTCACCATGCTGTCCATTACATCCCCAGGACTTATTTATTTTATAACTAGAAGTTTTTACCTTTTGACCACCTTCACCCATTTGGTCCACCCCCCACCCCCCACTTCCGGCAATCACCAATCTGTTCTCTATGAGTTTGGGGTTGCTTATTTTTTAGATTCCACATATAAGTGAGATCATATGGTATTTGTCTTCCTCTGTCTGACTTATTTCACTTAGCATAATGCCCTCAAGTTCTATCCAAGTTGTTGTAAATGGTCAGATCTCCTTCTTTTTTATGACTGAATAATATTCCACAAATATATACACCAAAATGTCTTCATTCATTCATCCATGGGCACTTAGGCTGTTTCCATGTCTTGGCTCTCGTAAATAACACTGCAGTGAACATGCGGGTGCAGATATCCTTTGAGTTAGTGTTTTATTTTGCTTTGGGTAAATACCCCAGATCATGTGGCAGTTCTGTTTTTAATCTTTTGAGGAACCTCCATACTGTTTTCCATAGTGGCTGCACCAGTTTGCATTCCCACCAACGGTGCACAAATCTTCCTTTTTCTCCACATCCTTGCCAACAATTGTTATTTTTTGTCTTTTTGATAACAGCCATTCTAACAGGTGTGAGGTGATATCTCATTGTGGTTTTGATTTGCAATTCCGTGATGTTGAGCACCTTTTCAGGTACCTGTTGGCCATGTGGATGTCTTCTTAGAAAAATGTCTATTCAGATCCTCTGCCATTTTAAAAAATGTACTTTTTTTGTTATTGAGTTGTAACAGTTCTTTATATATTTTGGAGATTACCCCTTTATGGGATACACGATTTGCAAATATTTTCTCGAATTCAGTAGGTTGCCTTTTCATCTTGTTGATGGTTTCCTCTGCTGGGCAGAAGCTTTTTAGTGGGATGTAGTCCCACTTGTTTATTTTTGCTTTTGGTGTCAGACTCAAAAAATCATCACCATGTCCCATGTCAAGGAGCTTACTGCCTATATTTTCTTCTAGGTGTTTTATGGTTTGAGGTCTTACATTCAAATCTTTAATTTGTTTTGAGTTGATTTTTGTGTATGGTATAAGATAGGGGTCCAGTTTCATACTTTTGCACGTGGCTGTCCAGTTTTCCCAGCACCATTTATTGAAGAGACTGTCCTTTCCCCATTGTATATTCTTGGCTCCTTTGTTGTAAAGTAATTATTATATATGCGTGGATTTAATTCTGGGCTCTTTATCCTGTTCCATTGATCTACGTCCCTTTTTATGCCAATACCATACTATTTTTTTTTAAAAGATTGACACCTGAGCTAACATCTGTTGCCAATCTTCTTTTTTTCTCTTCCTCCTCTTTCTCTTCCTTCTTCTTTTCCTCCCCAAAGCCCCCCAGTACATAGTTGTATATTCTAGTTGCAGGTCCTTCTGGTTGTGCTGTGTGGGACTCTGCCTCAGCATGGCCTGATGAGCAGTGCCATGCCCACACCCAGGATCTGAACTGGTGAAACCCTGGGCTGCCAAAGCAAAGCACATGAACTTAGCCACTCAGCCACGGGGTCGGCCCCTACCAGGCTGTTTTGATTACAATAGCTTTGTAAGATAGTTTGAAATCAGGGAGTGTGATGCCTCCAGCTTTGCTCTTCCAACTCAAGATTGCTTTGGCTTTTTGGGGTCTTTTGTGGTTCCATACAAACTTTAGGATTGTTTGTTCTATTTCTGTGAAAAATGCCACTGGGATTTTGATAGGGATCACACTGAATCTGTAGATTGCTTTGTGTAGTGTGGACATTTTAACAATATTAATTCTTCCAATCCATGGGCACAGAATATCTTCCCATTTCTTTGTGTCTTCGATTTCTCTCATCAATGTCTTACAGTTTTCAGTGTATAGGTCTTTCACCTCTTTGCTTAAATTTACTCCTAGGTATTTTATTCTTTTCGATGATATTGTAAATGGGATTGTTTCCTTAATTTCTCTTCTCTGATAGTTCATTTTTTAGTATATAGAAAAGCAACAGATTTTTGTATACTAATTTTGTATCTTACAACTTTACTGAATTCATTTATTAGTTAACACGGTTTTTGGGTGGAGTCTGAGGGTTTTCTCTATATAATATCATCTGCAAATAGAGACAGTTTTACTTCTTTCTTTCTGATTTGGATGCCTTTTCTTTCTTTTTTCTTTTTCTTTCTTTCTTTCTTTTTTTTTTTGGCCTACTTGCTCTGGCTAAAACTTCCAATACTGTGTTGAATCAAAGTGGCGAGAGTGGGCATCCTTGTCTTGTTCCTGATCTTAGAGGAAAAGCCTTCAGCTTTTCACTGTTGAATATGATGTTAGCTGTGGGTTTGTAATATATGGCCTTTAATATGTTGAGGTATGTTCCCTCTACACCCACTTTGTCAAGAGTTTTTATCATAAATAGATGTTGAATTTTGTCAAATGCTTTTTCTGCATCGATTGAGTTGATCATTTGATTTTTATCGTTCATTTTGTCAATGTCATATATCATATTGATTGATTTGCAGATGTTGAACCATCCCTGCATCTCTGGTCTTCTGCTCATGTCTTTGGCTTTGGTATAAGGATAATACTGGCCTTCTGGAATGAATTAAGTGGTGTGCCCTCCTCTTCTATTTTTTGGAAGAGTTTGAGAAAGATTGGTGTAAATTCCTCTTTAAATGTTTGGTAAAATTCCCCAGTGAAGCCATCTGGTCCTGGACTTTCCTTGGTTGGGAGGTTTTTGATGACTACTTCTATGTCTTTACTTGTTCTAGGTCTGTCCAGATTTTCTATTTCTTCTTAAACTCAATTTTGGTAATTTGTGTGTTTCTAGGATTTTGTCCATTTAATCTAGGTTGTCTAATTTGTTGGCATACAATTGTTACTGGTATTTCATTATAGTCCTTTTTATCTCTGTAGAGGGGTGGTAATGTCCCCATTTCCACTTCTGATTTTAGTTATTTGCATCTTCTCTCTTTTTTTAAAGGTGAG